ACGCTGCTGTGCATACTCGGCCTGACATCAGCTTTGCTGTGGGACAGCTGGCTCGAGTAGTGCAAAATCCAACAGAAGAGCAGTGTGATGCAGCGGAGAGAGTGGTGTGTTAACTCAAGTCCTACCCTATAGTGGGAGTATAGTATTCAGCCTCTGCTCAATTCAGTCAAAAGGGCCTTTAAGTTCTCAAGGGGGAGCAGCTGAGAGAAGGAAATGTTTTCCTTTCCTGCTTCGCTGATGCCACATGGGCTTCTGAGCATGAGGATTCATCGTCAGTGAGTGGATACATGTGCATGGTGGGAGGTGGGCCTCTAAGCTGGAGGTCCAAGAAGCAGTCGGAAATAGCTCTATCTGTTGGTGCATATTCGTTTTCACGTCATTGTCGTCTGTTCGCATCATTTTGTTTGCATGTGTTTCGTGTTGTATGTTGTTTGTGTGGTTTGTTGTGTTTGCATGTCTTTGTATGTTCATCTTGTGCTTGTGCAGATGCAGTTGGATTTTGCATATCATCGAGCACATTCCAAAGACCCATGAATTGCTGGAATGATAGCACATATGAAGAAGTTACAAATGCATTTAAGCTTCGAGAAATCAGTCCTGTGCAAAAGTACCTGGGGCTGGAGCTGATCAGAGACCGAACTGCTTGGAAGATTTGGGTGCACCAGGAGGCTACATCGACAAGCTGCAGATGTTGGTGCATATCCGTTTGCACGTCATCCTGTCATCTGTTCGCATCATTTCGCTTGCATGTGTTTCGTGTGCTACATTATTTGTGCGGGTTGTAGGGTTTGGAGGTCATTGCATGTTCATTTTGTGCTTGTGCAGATGCGCTTGGATTGTGCATGACATTGAGCACATTCCAAGGAGCCAAGAATTGCTGGAATCGGAGCACATATAGAGAAGTTACAAAGAAACGTTTGATGGATTGTTACAACCCATTGGAAGTCCTTGACAGCTGCTACACCAAGGTTGGAGAGCCCTATAACGAGGAGGGACCAGCATGTGTGGGAATTTTTTCCTCACCTTGCAGCTGCAGCATTTGGGGTTTGGAGGCCAACCTGGCACTGTGTGAATTTTGTCTCATCAGTGCTCCTTTCTGCCGAAAAGGACAACAGCGCTTAAGCCAAAGCCAATGCAATCCACGCTCCCGTGCCTCAAGCCTATACCACTTCGGCACCATTCCAGCGCAACCGCTTCCCCCCGTGTCCCTACGTCATCAAGCGCGGCCCTCGTGCCGGCCAGGTGTGTGGCGGCACCAACCATGCCCTTGCCTCCTGCTTCAAGAAGAAGGATGACGAGTTGTATGCCATCTACGGACCGCCTCAAAGCTGCCAAGCTGGATGGTCAATCGTGCTCTTCACCAAGTCAATCAAGTCGAAGCGTGGGAATGCGTGCAGGCTGCTGTAGCTCCCCCTGCTGATGTGCGCCTCAAGATGTTGTTCCCTGGCACTGCCATGATTAATGAGACAATTTCACAGTGTCCCGACTCACAAAGCACTTTTGCCACAGTTCACCCTCGACAGTGGGCCAACTCACACAGTTCTCAAGGAACAACACTCCTAGCCATATGAGACACCAATCCGTTTACTAGGAGCAGACTCCAGTTTCACAACACACGCCAAGGGCTCCCCCACAGTTCCGTGCCCAGCTTTCCCTTTGGGCAGTGTCACTGGCATGTGTGTTCCCACAATACGCCACAATCTCGTGGCCCAACAAAAGCTCTAACGAGCAGGCGTCACCACAATTTTCCCAGCATTCTCGTATCACCATGACCTCCTCGACCCTAAGATCAACAACCTCCTAGCACGCTTTACACTCCACAGCAGCAAGCTCTACACACTGCGTTCACCTGCACCTCTCGCCGCCCTCTCCCAAGCACAAGCTGCCAGCACCACTCCGTGTTCCTGTCGCAGCTTCGCCAACCCAACCATCCTCTACCACCATTGCTTGGGTCACCCCAAATTCCGTACGCTTGCCGATATCGCTTCCGAAAAAACTTCTTTTTGGCCTCCGGTCGGCGCTTCCTCCACCAACAGACTCACCTGCACCCATTTGCCTGGACTGCACCAAGAGCAAGCTCGGGCAGCAGCCGCACCCTTCCTCCCCATCCGTCGCAGCTGCTGCGGTAGACCTAGTGCACATGGATGTCTAGGGCCCAGCTCCAGTCGCATCCCGAGACGGTCATCGGTACTTTCTTACACTAGTCGATGACCACTCGCGGTATGTTTCCGTGCTCCTCCTGCACACCAAGGCGGAGGCACCTGACCTGAAAGCACGCAGCAGAACGGCATTACAGAGAGCCGCAACCACACCTTGGTTCAAATCGCTTGCTGCCTCCTCAGTTACGCCAACGCACCACGGTCACTCTGGGATATGCCCTCTTCCATGTGGCTCTCCTCTACAATCTTTATCCACATCCCCACCGGCCCGACACCACACCTACCACTCTCTGGCTTGGGGCCACGCCCTCCGCCCACTCTCTACGCGTCTGGGGGTGTACCGCATATGTGTTGCTCAGCCCCCATACGCGCAGGAAGCAAGGTGGCAAGCTTGGTCCCAAAACCCAGACCTGCATGTACCTGGGCCACAACTCTGATTCCCCAGTCTACTTATTCCTCAACCCCATCACCAAACAGCTGATTCGCAGCCCTGATATCGTCTTCGATAAGAGACGCCCCTTCCACTCTGCGACCATGGACGAGCCTCCTCCACCTCCCCCGACGCTTGTTTGGGCAGACTTCGATGCCCCACCTCCGGCCGCTGCCCTTTCTCCAGGGCCTTCTTCGTCCGGCGTGTCTCAGCCGGCCTCCCTGATATCCTCCGCAGCGGCACCTCCTCCTGCTCCGCTTTCCCAGCGCGTCGAGCCCGGCTCACCAGTCTCCTACTGGAGGCGCCCAGTCCCTCCGGTCCCACCGCAGCCGCCTTCGTCTCTGGTCTCTAGTCGTACACATTCCAAGGGACCGGCTCCGCCTTTCGCCTGGGGACCAGCCGCCTTCTCCATCCGGTGTTCGGTCACCCCGCCTCCTCCTGCCGGGGGTGATGTTCCCCTCCATCGGGGGTGATGTCTCTCACATCTTCCTGGACATTACTGACTGCCCTTCCCTCAACTTCACCGAGAACTCGACCATTCCGACTCCTCGCACAAAAGAGGAAGCTCTCTCGGGGCCTTATAAGAAGGAGTGGAAGGCAGCAATGGATGTGGAGAACGAGACGTTCATTCGCAACAACAGCTTTGACGATGTCGTTCTCCCTTCCGGTGTCAACATCGTCGGCGGAAAATGGATCTTCCGAGTCAAACAACTCCCAGGCAAAGCTCCACTGTTCAAGGCACGATACGTAGCGAAGGGTTTCACCCAGAAGGAGTATCTTGACTTCTTCGAAACATTCTCGCCCACGGCCAAGCTGCCGACTGTGCGCGCTCTTCTTGGTATAACCGCTTGCGGCAACTTCGAGATCAAGTCCATGGACGCCTCCTCCGCCTTTCTCCAAGGCCAGCTCAAGGAGGATGTTCACATGGAACGCCCACCGGGGTTTCCTGGCACTTACCCTGCCAACACAGTGTGGAAGCTGAAGTGCCCAGTGTATGGTCTCAAGCAGGCTCCTCGTGAGTGGCACAACGAGGTGAAGGAAGTCCTCCTCGCACTTGACTTCCATCCCTCTGCCTCAAATTCCAGTCTCTTCATTCGTCACTCTTCTGAGCCTTTCTACATCCTCGTCTACGTTGACGACGTCATTCTAGTTGCTTGAGATCCAGCCCAGATGGCAGCTGTTTATTCTGCTCTCAGCTCTGCCCTTCTCATGAAGGATTTTGTGTTGGTTAGAGAAGGCTATAAGCAGATGATTCAATGGCTCCTTGGAAAATTTTGCAGCACTTCGTTATGACGCCCAGAAAACTCGCGGCCTTCGAAAAGCTATATCCAAAACTCCAAGCGGTGAAAATCAGATATTTTGTAGCTTGCAGCGTCAGATGTCCACTGAAAGTTGAATCACTCGATTCCGTAGCTTATTGAGTGAGCTATGGCGTTTGGCGCACTGGGGGGTAATCTGCCCTAGGAGAAATTGACAGTCCTCAGAGTCACTATAATTGAAGCTTACAAGTTCAGAGGCATGATGGAAAAGGCATTGAAGCATAGTTGGAAGGTGGGGTAGGAAGGGAAGGATGAAAGGGAAGGACCCTGGAGGCCCTTGGTCAAGAACATGACAAGAGTCAAAGTCTTGACTCCTCATCCTCAGGTTCAGCCAGCTTGGCAAGACAAAATTCACACTGTGCCAAGTTGGCATCCAAACCCCAAATGTTGCAGCTGCAAGGTGAGGACAAAAGACCCACACATGCTGGTCCCTCCTCCTTATAGGGCTCTCCATTGGTGTAGCAGCTGCCAAGGACTTCCAATGGGTTGTAACAAATCCATCAAACATTTCTTCGTAACTTCTTCATATGTGCTCCGATTCCAACAATTCTTGGCTCGTTGGAATGTGCTCGATGTCATGCACAATCCAAGCACAACTGCAGAAGCACAAGATGAATATGCAAAGACATGCAAACCCAACAAACCACACAAACAACGTAGCACACAAAACACATGCAACGAAATGATGCGAACAGACGACAGGATGACGTGCAAACGAATATGCACCAACATCTTGGTGACCTCAAGAACTACCTTGGGATGGAGATCACTCGTGACCGCGAGGCTTGCACGATCACCCTCTCCCAGGAGTCTTACATCGACAACCTTCTCAAGCGGTTCAACATGGACTCCAGTAACTCTGTCTCCACTCCACTCCCACTACAGCATCAGCCCACGGCCCCTCCGATTCCTTCTCCTGACACCTGCAAGGACCCGTACCCTGAGCTTGTCGGTTCACTCATGTATGCCATGATGTGCACCCTATGGTGTGACAACCAGAGCGCCATTCACCTCACCAACGATCCTGTGTTCCACTCTCGCACCAAGCATATTGAACTTCGTCATTTCTTCATCCGATAGCTTGTTCAGAGTGACCAGCTGACGGTACGGTACATTGTCTCAGATTGCTGCTGCTGCTGCTGCTGCTTCTGCCGCCGCCGCCGCCGCTGCTGCTGCTGCTGCTGCTGCTGCTGCTGCTGCTGCTGCTGCTGCTGCTGCTGCTGCTGCTGCTGCTGCTGCTGCTGCTGCTGCTGCTGCTGCTGCTGCTGCTGCTGCTGCCGCTGCTGCTTCTGCTGCTGCCGCTGCTGCTGCTGCTGCTGCCGCTGCTGCTGCTGCTGCTGCCGCTGCTGCTGCTGCGTCTGCTGCTCCTTCTGCTGCTGCTGCTGCTGCTGCTGCTGCTGCGTCTGCTGCTCCTTCTGGTGCTGCTGCTGCTAGCTGATAGGAGTAAGCTGATGGGGAAAGATGGCAGTTAGCTTATGAAAGTAGGACTTGGTGGAAATTTCAGTAGCACTTCGTGATCACATCTAGGAAAATGCGCGGACTTCGGAAAGCCATATGCAACAATCCAATCGATGAAACAGTCTGAAGTTTTACGTTATTGTAGCTGACACCAAGAGCGTTCTTTTGCAAATCGAATCACTTAATTATGTCAACTAGCGACCGAGCTATGGCGTTTTGCGCACTGGGGGTGTTTGAAAATCCACCCAATAGAAAACTAGTTGTGAAGGGAAAGAGAGTAGGTGGCTAGGAGTCTAGAGCGGCGATGGAGGGGACGGCAATGAGGTGCACGTCGGTAGGGGACAGGGCGGAAGCGTGGGGAAGGATCGGGATTAAAAGTTGGCGCGAGCCATTATAGCTCTATACCATGTTAGAAATTGAAAGGTTGAGTTTGTTGAGTTTGTAGACCACTTTTACGTAGTCCTTATTCTGTCCGACTCCCTCCCCTCGTTGACCTTCCCCCAACCCTTCTGCCACACCACACTTACCTTGCTCAATAATTCCTCATTCCTTTTCCTCGCTGCCCACCACGTACCCGCCCCTGCCACACCACTTTTACTGTGTTTTTATTCTACCCTGTTTGAAACAGAAAGATTGAGTTTGTTGATGAAGCAAAGGCATGACATAGGAAGAGACAGATTAGCTAGGAAGGGAAGGTTGGAAGAGAAGGGGGGGTTAGGACCAATCACAAGGGAGAGATGATCCTTCCAAATGGGAGGTGGTCCAAGTATGATGGACCACAAGTGGCTTAAGCAACCCACTTGTGGTGCCCCCACAATTGTTGTCCTTGTGTTTAGGGGCTCCAACCACAATTGGGTTGGATTGACACCCCAACACAGGTGTACACCCAACTAGGGATGTAAACACAATATACACAACTAGCATAGCATAGTATATTCTAATATGGAGCACGTTGAAAATTCGGACGACTCGAGACGAATGTCGTGACGACAGTGCGCGTAGCGCGGGCACGTTGAAACTAGGACCTTGATCCACGTGTGCAGATAGGTCGCTCTGATACCAGGTAAGAAATAGAGCTGAAATAATTGATTAGGTAAGGAGCCCAAGGCTCTATAAATACATGGCAAGGTGAGAGAATGGATGAGGGGGGAATCCGGGGGAATCCCCATACGGATCTCCAGAATCTCCAATGGGGTAGTTGGAGATTAGGGGGATCACAATGGTGAGGTTGGGATTTGTGAATACACCCCAACCCACTAGAATATTCCTAACATAAACTAGGATATAAAAGTACAAATACAAAAGTGGGATTTGCAATCTATTTCTAACACACGCAGTATGAGAGCACGAAATATTTGGGCACGAAACGTGAGCGAACGGAGGGCACGAAACATGAGGGCACAGGATATGGGGACACGGGATACTGGGTATTGGATATTATGACGGCACATGATACGATTGCGCCAGATGTGAGGGCATGGTATGTTAAGGCACGAGATATAAGAACACGGGTTTTGAGGGCACAGGATATGAGAGCATGAGATACGAGGGCATGAGTATGAGGGCACGGAAGATTGGGGTATGAGATATGAGGGCGCAAGTTATGAGGCACGAGATCTGAGGGCATACAATCTTAGTGCATGCGGATGTGAAGGCATGGGACACGAGGACAATGTGCAATAGTCTAAGGTTGCTCGGGTGGGTTGTGCACAATTTCTATGGTTCCATCGTCGATAAATACGGCGGTAGAATCAAGGAGGTGTGCATCAACCTTTCAAAACACCAATCAACTGCATACACACGAACAATAATGCTGTAAATGCAATAAAGCAATGCACGAATGCTTCCATGCTGCAAGTGGGGTTGACATGTACTGGAAGCAACACTTTGCAGTGCACTTGGCATATATGCGTCACTCCAGCACTGATACAGCATAACGAAACGCTTGAGTACGAAACAAGCGCGTACAGCATGCAAGCATATAATGATGCAGTCAATGCGATGAAATGATACACGAATGCTTCCGTGCTGCAAGTGGTGTTGGCATGTACGTTTTGGAAACAACGCTTTCCAAGCCGACAACGATAACCGCCATCCACGCAGTGCACTTGGCATATATGCATCACTCCAGCACTGATACAGTATAAAAAAACGATTGGGTACAAAAGACCGTGCACAGCATGCAAGTATATAATAATGCAGTCAATGCAATGAAATGATACACGAATGCTTCTGCGACAAAACGCAGGGGTAAAGAACATGGACATGGAAAATGAGGGCACATGATATGTAGTCACAGGATTTGAGGGCACAAGTTTTAGGGGCACGATTAGTGGAGTTACATGATATGAGGGCACAAGGGTATGAGGGCATGGGATATGGGAGCTCGGAATATGATTGCATGGGATATGTGGGCACGAGTTATGAGGTTACGGGATATGAGGACATGGAATATGGGCAGGATTGAATATGAGGGCATGAGAGATAATTGCAGGGAATATGTGGGGAAGATATGGATACGCTTGGCATGCATGCTCCAATGTTGCACAACATGACACAATGATAACAGTTATTACGTAACGATTCCCCAGTACCATGCCATCCAACATACACCCAGGAAAACAATATGCATGCAGACACATTCAATTTAAACAGGGGAAAGAAGAGGAGGGAATCAAAGATGAGAACTGATTGAAAAGGTAAAGAACAAACTGGTGGAGATATGAAAATAGGCTCTAGCGTTCCGAGTTAATGGTTTATTCACGAAAAGGTACGATTAGTGTGAAGTACATAAGGAGAATCAAAGCCATGAAATAGGGGAGACAAAAGGCCTGGTGGAGGGCACCAGAAGGAAATTGAAGGAATAGTATAAAAGAAAAGGCTGTATGTATATCTACCGGTTTAGACGCCACGTCGGTTGTTGTGCTTCATAGGCGTTCCAGGCTCAGTTGGTGTATTGTTTGACGCAATGCGCTTGTTGTTGGCATTCCTTGCTGCCATATTTCCAACCTGGTTTCATAAAGACAAACAAAATTACAAAGATATAATAGAAGAAAAAGATATAGATTTGAGTTCGAAATCTGAGAAAGTACAAAGTTATAATAGAAGAAAAGAGCTGCTCACATTCGCTGGCCCGCGTTCAATTGAGATGATTTTCCTCTGGATTGCTTCCCCAGCTATCCTTATCCCCATCTGCATTAGGTTATAAGAAACAAATGCATTACAATGTGCCATTGTGCAATCAAAGCGTAAACTAATAATATTGGTTAGGAATAATAATGAAGTAGCAATAAGGTATTTCGAGCAAAAGCATTATATGTAGCTTAATCTATAAATAAATTCGGACAAAGATGTTTTAAACAAGTCAAAAGCACCAGTTTGTGTACAACAATAGGATCTCATCTCAGCTCTCCAATGTTTGTGCAGAGCAGCCGGTATTTCCATCTTCCTCTCTGCATTCGCATTCATGTAGTCCTTAAAACCGGAGCTACCAAGATTGCCTCGATCACCTTGGCACTCACTGTGGCGAGCACCCCCGTGCGAGAATCCTTGCCAGCTATGTACATGCATGCAACATGATGTATATGTTAGATAGAGAAGGCTATAAGCAGATGATTCAATGGCTCCTTGGAAATTTCTGCAGCACTTCGTTATGACACCCAGAAAACTCGCGACCTTCAAAAAGCTATATTCAAAACTCCAATCGATGAAACGATCTGAAAATCGGATATAATGTAGCTTGCAGCGTCAGCTTTCCACTGAAAGTTGAATCTCTTGATTCCGTAGCTTAGCGAGTGAGCTATAACGTTTGGCGCACTAGGGGTAAATCTGCTCTATCAGAAATTGAGAGTCCTCAGAGTCACTATGATTGAAGCTTACAAGTTCAGAGGCATGATGGAAAAGACATTGAAGCATAGTTGGAAGGTGGGGTAGGAAGGGAAGGATGAAAGGGAAGGACCCTGGAGGCCCTTGGTCAAGAACATGACAAGAGTCAAAGTCTTGACTCCCATCCTCAGGTTCAGCCAGCTTGGCAAGACAAAATTCACACTGTGCCAGGTTGGCCTCCAAACCCCAAATGCTACAGCCGCAAGGTGAGGACAAAAGTCCCACACATGCTGGTCCCTCCTCGTTATAGGGCTCTCCAACTTTGGTGTACCAGCTGCCAAGGATTTCCAATGAGTTGCAACAAATCCATCAAACATTTCTTCGTAACTTCTTCATATGTGCTCCGATTCCAACAATTCTTGGCTCGTTGGAATGTGCTCAATGTCATGCACAATCCAAGCACATCTGCACAAGCACAAGATGAGCATGCCAAAGACGT